TGTATAAGTAAATATTTTCAATCTAAATACCAGATATTTTTGTTTCTATTAGATCAGCTTTGCCAGTTTTGTTTCTTTCTTAGAAAATATTCCGTGCTGTTTAATATAAAATTCCGGTAGGTTATCACAATTAAGAAAGTAAAAATATTCAAAAATTCGCAATAATTTTTTCACCAAATAGAGAATATCTTCACTTGAAGAAGTCAATGTTTTGGTGAAACAATTGTTGTGAACAGTTAATGTATAGGGTTGTTCGGAAAGTCATTTCGTTTTTTCCCGACAGAGGATTTAATTGTATTCTTTTGCACCCAACTTCACATTTAAGTCGTATAATTTTTATATGCTTTGAGAGCTCATATAGCAAGGCTTGTGTGTGAAAAATTCCAATTAATTCTACGCAGTAGTTTTTGGTTGGTGCCCTTTTAAATATGGAGAGCGATAAGCAGCATTTTCGACATATCTTACTGTTTACTACAGAAAGGGTAAAAATGCTGTTCAAGCCAGAAAGAAATTGACTGATGTGTATGGAGAAGGTGTGTTGACAGTAGGCCAGTGCCAGAACTGGTTCGCTAAATTTCGATCCGGCAATTTTGATGTCGAAGATGCACCACGTTCGGGAAGGCCGGTTGAAGCTGATAAAGACGCGATACAGGCATTAGTTGATGTGAACCGGCGAATAACAACACGTGAGATCGGATTGAGGTTAAATTTATCAAATTCAACAGTTTATGACCACTTGAAAGGCCTGGGGATTATCCTCGAAGCTCGATGTATGGGTTCCCCATGTTCTCACAGAGAGAAATCTGTGTCGCCGCATTGACGTCTGCGATTCGCTTCTCAAACGTCACGAAAATGATCCGTTTTTGAAGCGCATCATCACTGGGGACGAAAAATGGGTTGTATACAACAACGTCAAACGCAAGAGGTCATGGAGCAAAAAAGATGAACCGGCTCAAACCATATCCAAAGCCGATACTCACCAAAAAAAAGGTGATGCTGTCTGTTTGGTGGGATTTTAAAGGAATCGTTTTTTTTGAGCTTTTACCGGATAACACAACGATTAATTCGGAAGTCTACTGTCATCAGCTGCACAAACTGAATGATGCACTTCAACAGAAAAGGTCAGAACTAATCAACAGGAAAGGTGTAGTGTTTCACCAAGACAACGCGAGACCTCACACAAGTTTGGTCACTCGCCAAAAGCTTTTACAGCTTGAATGGGATACAATGCTACACCCACCATATTCTCCAGACCTGGCACCATCGGATTATTATTTGTTCCGGTCACTCGAAAATTTTTTAGACGGTAAAACCTTCACCTCAAATGAGGAGGTCAAAAAGCTCCTCGATCAGTTTTTTGACAGCAAAGACCAAAAATTTTACGAGCGTGGAATTATGGTACTACCAGAAAGATGGCAAAAGGTGTTGGACCAGAACGGTCAATATATAACTTAATAAAGTATTTGTTTATTATACGAAAACTGTCTTTCATTTCCACAAAAGAAAATGAAATGACTTTCCGAACAACCCTATATATTTTTGAATCTTTACTTTCGCTTCCTTTAATTGATTATGGGCTTTCAACAAGTAAAGCCTTCTACCATTAATTATCACAATTACTTCAATGGGACGGAATTCCATTAAAAGAGACACAAATAAAAGCATATATTTCCACTGAAATGTTTCGTACTTAATATGTAGTTTCCGATGTGCTGCTATCGAACATGGGAAATTCTGCCTTTATTAACGCGAAAAGTAGAAACATTTTTTATTGTTGTAGTTCCTTTCTTCGTCCGAATAAAATCCGTTTAAGAAATTCAGTGCGAAAGCTTCGAATCCACTTCCCTAAATTACATTCAGCTCAATCGATATTTATTAATGTTTCTTGTAGAAGGAGCTTCAGCTGTTGTTTAAGATTTATAGGATTTCCCAGAAAAATCGTAAAATTGTTCGATCATGCAGCTATCATCACCGTTTAAACTTAATTTAATCATTGTATCTTTCAGAACGTTTAAAAAAACATATTAGTTCGAAAACGCCTGTCCTTAATCTGTGCTACAAAGTATATATATTTTGTATATTACAATTCGATTGGAGATTTGTTGCCTGTAAATTGCCTAATTAATATTCCTCTCGTTGCCTTCATAGCTTTTGATAGGTATTCTAGATTGCAAATTTGTTGTTTTCAATGTATAATGAGGGTTATAGCGGTCAGTGGTGAATTTATTAATTACATTAAGCGAAAGTGGTATTGTCAATATAATAATATTTTACCTTACTGTTCGACACTTTCCTTTATTAAATTATGAATTTTCACAGAATTGTGTATCTAAATTGACAGATCTTCCGGCATGTTTCGTTTCGTAAATAAAAGAAAGTACGCCATGCGACATCCTTTTGATATAGGAATTCATTTTGCCACCGTAGTTTAAATTGCAACATTCCAACAGGAACGTGCCTAAACTCTATTCTTTCTCTTATATTGCTGTCGCTTTGCTTTTCACTTGGGGTTAGAAATGAACCTTCACTTGTCTCTTGTCTCGAATGTGTTAAAGAAATTCGTTTACTTAAAACTGACACACGGTGGATCAATATAATTGCCTACTGTTTATACTTTATCTAACCCATTTTTTTCTTTATTCTTATTTTCACAAATTCTAAACAACAAAGTCAAAAACCACCCCATAATTTTTAAAAGGAATATAAAAACTAATACAACAGTTAGATAAATGCGCAAACATTTCTTTTATTTTGAAGGATTATTTTATGACTTACCACAATTCTACCATCTTGTGTATTTTCTTCAGGTGTTTGATTTTTTTTAAATTATTTTTCATTAATTTTGTGTTGTAAATGAGTAATTATTTTTTTTACTTACCTTTTTCGCATTTTGATTTTGGATAGTTGGAACAGGAGGGAAGAATAAATGAAAGACTTAAAGTAAAGTTACACGGATTTATAACTTTATTTTTAATGTGGCGATTACCCCTGCAATATTTCCATTTTACACAATAATACAATCAGGTAAAGGGTTTCGATAAACATAAACATAAATGCGTGTGCAGAATACATCAATAATACCTATATAACAATTAGTAACATTGATTTTTATGTTTTACAAAACATACTGCAGTAAGTAGCACGTAAGCATGGCGAATAATATGATATTTAAAAAAAATCGGACGAGTGGCGCTTTAGGTACACAATTAAAATAAAGTTACATGATAAATGCGTTCGGATTTTAATGAAAAAGTCAACGCTCAAAAAAGATTTTACAATCTTATCTAATTGATTTATTACAGGTTTATCACTAACCGTAATACTGTATTCTAATACCCTGTAAATTCTAACGTTACATGTACAAAGTTAGAAAAAGTCTACTACGTCACCGAAAGAAATATATAAAAAAAAATGTCAATTCTCGTTGCGAATTACTAAACTTATACAGGCAGCCAGGGGCGGCCTTAGTCACTGGATGGTTCCGGGCGGGTAAATTTTTGCGAGGCCCTCATCTTTGTGGAATTAATTTTAATGATGATACTTGAAAAATGCAAAGTGATTCATAAATAAGTTTACAGTTTTAAAATTGTTTATCGAAAATTAAAAAAAAATTGATAAAGACAAAGATAGCAAATTCTTCTTTTAAGACTATTAAGAAATTCAAATAAACATTAGTAGTATATACTATTACTACCTAATATTTTTCTAATTAGATTGTTGCGCCAGTGTGCGAGGCCCCCTGCAAGAGCGAGGCCCATGGCGGTTGCCCTGTTCGCCGCCCTCAAAGGCCGCCCCTGCAGGCAGCACTGAGTTTACTATAATTTGTAATATCAATTTTGAATCGCAGTTAAAACTGACATTCTTTTTCCTGTACTGTCAAACAAACCGAAAATTACAATAACTTGATGAGATCATTTTTAAGCGTCGACCATATCATCTAATATATAACTACGAATACTTTATTAGGTGATTACAGTCTATATCACCGAAGAAAATCTCCCAATGTCCTTCTTGTTCTTCTATAGTGTAGATTGTAGATCTGTACGGGAAAATTGTGCAGTATAAATCTTTTAAGCAATTGTCGTTCCTCCAATTACGCGAACTTAACCTAAGAAGCTTCCAACTTGTTCATTTAATGTTCTTTTGTACTATCTTTTTTATCTTAGTACCTACTTTGACCCAAATCTTTGCAGAATTTATTACCGGCAATCTCAAAGCGCGGACACCATTCCAGAATTAATTATATTAACACTTTTTAAGAAATTGACAGAACTAACTTTATGGTAACAATAAAAACGTAAAAAATATTCGGCAGTGTTCGCGCTTAAATAGGTACGTACCTAAACCTAAGTGTAATGCTTTATTTAGTATTTCTCTTTTGCTGTAACTCAACCTAATAATCCAGCTTAATTGAATACAAAACCTAGAAGAATAACGCGAACTTGATTGTAAAAGCCTTTTAAAATTGTTCGATATTTATTTATCTATTATGCAGTATCATGTAGCAGGGGCCGATTAATTTATTTTGGACTTTTCCCGACTGAAACTTTAAAACCTTATATCCAAATTTGGTATATCACAAACTATAGTACATATTATTTATAGTTTATGAATAAGTTTGCTTTCTCCTTCGGAAAAATGTCGAATATTTATTTAGATTTACCTTTAGTCCGTATGTATTTGTAACATTGCACCTAATTGGGTTTATCGGCAATGGTAATTGTGTTACCTTTTTGCAAAAATTACTTAATTTTGTTACCACCACACGCTTTCATTAATACTATTATAATACACTATTTCTTTTCCGAAAGTTATACTCCATTACTGTAGAAATACTTGCTTATATTTACATTTTCATTTTATAAAAACAAGAGGAAATCAAAATACTTTTCGAAATGGCTAATATCGTTCTACTTCTTTTTTTATATGTATAAATAATCATGCACAAGTATAACTCTTTATAAATATAAATATATTATAAATAGGATATATTAGCGGGTTATAAATACTTTCAATTATTATTTATTAATTCAATGCATTTGTTGTAATTTTTCATTTAGTTGCTTCTGCAGAACAAATTCTCCTTTTATGGAATTATGTACATATTATGTAGATGCATGATGTTATTAAACTTCTCCATACTACACAAACTGCGGACATCTAGTCCATCAAAGGCTTTCTTCCTTTTTTAGACGGGAATGATGGAAGTTTTAGTTCAAAGTATTTTCATTTACGGTTTTATAATACATGTTTGCAAATGAGTATGTATTATAAATATTACTAGATGAACTGATTCTTTCTTTGAATATTTTCAATGCCCCAAATGGTGAACCGACTTTAAAAGAACGTCCTGTATATACTTAATAACACAGATTCCTGCCATATAATGCAATAAAATTGTCATATTTACGACCTATACACATAGGTACGTGTTACAGGCTAAAATCATAACGACAATTATAACTACAAATCTGGCGTCGCAAATGAATTTGGAAATGCAAATTCAATTAGTGAAAATTGGATTCAAGATAATAACCGATAGTTTAGCTCTTTTGCATTATAAATCTTGTTTCAAATTTTGAAATATTTCGCCGACTCACAACACTTTTGTCAACGATAGATAAAAAATGTCAATGCAAAATAATGAACAATATCCAAATGTGCATGCACTTTTATTTAAAGCTAGTAAAAGTATTTTTCTACTTTTTTTATATTAACTTTGTTTACATATGTTGGTTAAATTTATCACAAAATATCAATTTTCTGGTTCAGGCAATGATGAGTTTTTAAATAAAAGGAAAAGAGGTCTGCCTTAAGAACCTTCATAAAATTTAGATCTGTTAACTCAGTATCATACTTATATATAAAAAAAAATTGCTAGTCAATTTCGGAAGTTCAAATAAAAATCTCCTAATTATTGGATAACAAATAACAATATTTTTTCAACTACAATCACTCTAATTTCTTATCAGTCTTTCTCATACAAATTGCACACACACATCACCAATGTATGTTAGGTACGTTACTGTTTTTGTGTTAATACGTTTATGTATATGTAGATATAGCTGCATTAACATTACATTATCTACTTATAAACCACACCGTACATTTATACAAATGTGATTATTATTATTATTTGATATAATGATAGCAGAATTGGAAGAAACAATTCTAATAATTACAATAACAATAATAACATAACGGACATCGAAGCCACCACTTTTTCTTTTTTTTTTTGTTTTTCCTTTAATATATATTCGTTCACCGAAATAAAGGATATAGGAATAGTATTAAATTCCATCCAACGATGAACCTGCTTACACCTGAAATAATTAAAATTGCTTTTTAACCAGAAAACTAATGACAGGAAGCAAAGCAAAACGTGAACACAACTGAAATAAATAAAATTGAAGCAGCATTGACAAAACAGTACTGTATGAAAATGAATAAAAGTAAAAAAAAAATACTGGTATGCAAGGGAAGAAAAAGTAGGGAAAGAGAGAATATAAAGATAGGAGACGAAAAATTAGAAGACGTGGCTGATTTTAGGTATCTAGGTAGGCAGATAAGTCAGGCTGGAAGGAGTAGTAGGGATGTAAAGCTGAGGATAGCGCAGGGTCGAGTCGCTTTCAATAAGGAGAAGTCACTTCTATGCTCGCGAACGATTAATTTAGAAATTCCAAAAAAGGTTGTTAAAGGTGTATGTCTGGAGTGCGGCACTGTGCGGTTGCGAAACATGGACAGTGGGTGCGGCGGAAAAGAAAAGATTAGAACCGTTCAAAATGTGGTGTTACAGACGAATGATGAGGATACCGTGGATAGAGAAGGTTAGAAATGAAGAGGTGTTAGAAACAATAGGAGAACAGAGGTCTCTATGGATGTCAATAAGATATAGGCGAAATAGGGTGGTAGGACACCTCAGACATTAAGGTCTAGTCAGAGACATATTAGAGGCAGAAACAGGAGTGAAGAGGGGTAGAGGTAGACCTAGATTAGATTACTGTTCGCAAATAGTTAAGGATGTGGGATGTTCTAGTTTTAGGGAAATGCAAAGATTAGCTCAGGATAGGAAAGACTGGAGGTGCGTGTCCAACCAGCCTTAGGACTGACGACCTTATGATGATGAATATACATGTATTTACATCACTTATGGAAGTTTGTTTAGTTTTTTGTTTTTAAAGAACATTAAGTCCTTAATCAGTAATCGCGATTTCGGACTTATTATTAGTCCTTATCGTTTCTCTTAGCAGCCAGCATATTAATAGGTGAACTTTATCGAAGAATTGGAAACGTTTATTACGTAAAATAGCATAAAGCTTTGGTTTCTAAGCTGACCATGAGAAATATTGCGACTAAAGAACCATCAAATAAATCACCATCAATCATAATAAAGGTTTACTCCAACGAGCTATTATAATTGCAAGGGAATTTTAGTGATACTGATAATTTCATTGAAAAAGAAGGAAACAAATGGAAGGAAACAAACGAAAAATGACCTAAAATTTTCTCAAACTATTACTGTAATTATGGTTACTTTACGTCAGTTTTGTGCAATCAGCTTTTTTTATTTTAATTACCTGACAAAAAGAAATAAAATTGGAACATAATAGAAAAATGATCATAACGGAATACTACTACTCTTCTGGAATTTCAATACTTGCCCTTTTGTTTCATTCATGCTTTTTATTATTAAGTTTTGTGTAAATTATTAATTTTTGTGAATAATCATTCTGGTGAGATAATGCGAATCCTACTTTTGCAATTCAGTAAACCGCAGTAAATTAATGTGCACAGAAAATGTTGATTAAGGCAATGTCTATAATGTTCACTTTCTTCTGGACGGAAATATGAATTTAAAATTAGATGGGACGACTAAAAGTACAGTATCTAATTTTTGTAGAAAGATGAGTCTAATACGAAGGCGTTTTTTGTATCCATCTGCTCTTTGGCTTTTTCCTCGCAAAAATCGGTCCGAAGGGAACAACTTTCAGACCACATCCTGTTAAATCCTTAAGACATTACAGGATACTTGATTGCCTCCGGAAATTTAATATAGACATTTAGAGTTTTGATTAAATGTAACGGATGAACTTGTATCTTAGAAGGCTGGTAATTTTTCTTTTAAATCGTCCTTGTTTAAGGTTCAGCACTTCAAAAGAAAAACGGAACCCTTTCAACATCACTCACTCTGTCTCTCACAGACACAGACGCAGAAATTTGCTACAGTTAACATTTAAAAATATTTACAATTATAATTTTTTATGTTGAAAACTTAAACTTTCGAATGCTAGAAGTAATAGTGAAACTACATGTAAAAAAAAATAGAAACGTAATGTAAGAAATGAATTATTAATTTTTGGAAAGCGCGATTGCATCAAAATTTCATAATTTAATTTTCGAGGAGTTTAAGAAAGACTCACTTACCCCCCGAACTTCCTCCGACGGAGCCCCACTGATATATTGCTCCTTTGCCTTCCACTTCGCTTCCAGATTTTTGCTCAGACTTGTCGATTTCATTTAGATTAGACTGGTACTTGGAGCCTGTAATTTTTAATCGACTATTTCAGTGCGAGGAAAGTTTCTAACTTGGAATTCAGCAAGAACATTTTCGTTTAAAGAAAACTCAATACGTTTACTATATACATGTAAGATGTTTGGACATGTACAATTTTGAAGGGAAATCAATACTATAATCTCCAAAAAGCATAAAACAATTTTCTTTCCGGTCTATTGATACCTACAATTTTCACGAGTAATTCTGTAGTTAAATTTGAGAGTGATATTGGTCAACTAACCATAACCAAATAATTTTTTGATTTTTTACTAATTTCATTTTTTCTGACTACATACAACAATGGCGTAGCATGAATATCTGCTACCCGGGGTAAAGTCTAAGTTTGTGCCCTTTCCTGTTTTTACAGTTTTTAAATTGATAGGCTTGCAGTGTACCCTAACTCTATCTAACACAGATGAAAACATTTTTGCCGCCCCCTACAGTTGTACCCTTCACTTTTGCGCTGCCTGGGGTCATGGCATTCTTTCTCCGTAGGGCACTGATAAACAAAAATGTTCCAGACAAATATTGCCTCCAATTTTAACCCCCTTATTCCTTGTAAGAGTCGTACTAGAAGCTTCTGTTCAAAATTTCAATTTTGTAGATTCGAGGGTTTAACCTGGACGTTGATGAGTTAGTGAGTTAGGACTTTTCATTATATATACACATTTATATAGATTAGTAATAGGTAACAAGCACTTATTAATACCGATAGTGGCTGTTTAATGTAAATTTTGTACTGTCTATGGAGTTTGTGATCTCTCAACATTACGATTGCTGTATTAACTTTAATCCTCTCTTCAATAGAGCTCTAAATCACATCGAAATCGAGTTATATCTAAGTCTTTTAGTAGTTCCATCAAGTATCTAGTAATGATTTTATTCAACTAAACAAGTTACTCATGCAACGAACGCATTTAACTTCTTGAATACACCACCTAATGAAAAGAAGCTGCGAATTTAAAATTGCAAATTTAAATTTACAAATGCTCTAAAATTAACAATTACTTTTACATGTATTGATTTAATTCGTTACTAAAAACGATCGATGTTTTTCTTTAACATTTTAAGTACCAGATTTGTGAAAAATTTGATTGCAGTACGTTTCTTATCGTAGGAAATCTTAGTGTATATTTTCCTTGTCCTCGAAACATCAGATAAAGGAATCACCCGCGTGGCGTTTGGGACAAACCTTGTATAATGTTGATCATTGATCTGAGGAGATAGGCTATTACGTAAAGGAATTTAAGTGTAACTAGAAGAGATAATTTGCTTAATTTAATCGATTTCGCGATAAGTGATTGTTTTGTCGACTACGTGCGGCACCTCTTGCGAAATTTACGATTCGAAATAAAGTTGAAAACAGAATCAAAGAGGATCGGGCCAAGGAAGCGGAACAATATAATCGCGCACATATATGCATTTCATATTGCGTTCTAAAACCCAAAAATAACATAAAATTTTACGATCACATTCAAACATGTGGGCGGACCGCATCATCCGAAAAGATTACATATAAGATTATTCTTTGACCTCAATATTGTTCTGTCTAAGATTGTTCGTGACAAAACGACTTGCCCACATAGACACTTTATGTATGTAGATACTTTGACTCGTACCAATGTACATATATTATACGTGCTGTCGAATCATATTTACAACAGTTTGGGACCGTGTGTAGTTTATTATTTGCATTTAAAAGTTTCTTATTTTCCATTTCCGATTCAAATACTCCCAAGTTGGGAAATTGGGACCACCGATTCATTTTGATATCAACTAAATGTGTATATGTTGCCGGAAATGTATGAAATCTAGGAATTGTTTTTACAATTCCTAGAAAATGTAAACAATTCCGAGGCTATTTAGGAAATGTATAAAATATTGTTTCAAAGAGTTTTTAATACACACATATCCTGCGATATATATACATTTCATAGGAATTGTATAAAATTTCGATGCTGTACTAGGAAATGTATAAAACTAATGCTCTGTGAAAAGGATTATAAACACAACGTGGTAGTAACCATACCTAAAAAGACAGGCGCGGATAGGTGCGAGACATTTAGAACAACTAGCTTCTCATGCATCAAAAATCTTAACTAGAATTGTACAGTGGAGGATGGAAAAAAGGGCGGAACAACTATTAGGGGAAGATCAATTTCGATTTGGAAGAAATAGAGGAACGCTGAAGGCCATTCTAGCTTTACGGGTAACAATAGAGAAAACGATAGAAAAAAGAAAGAGGGCGTACATAGGATTTGTAGATTTAGAAAAAGCTTTTGACAATGTTAAATGGGACAAGATGTTAAATAAACTTAAAAATGTAGGGATGAGTTACAAAGATAGAAGAGTGATACTTAGTTTTTATAAAGAGCAACAGGCAGTTAAAGAGATGGGGTTGCAACGTAGAGAAGTAAATATTAGGAAGGGAGTCAGACAGGGATGCACACTGTCACCGCTACTTTTTAATCTATACATCGAAGACGCGATCAACTTCATCAAAGACAGTACAACTGTAGGATAGATATACAGGGGCAAAAGATTAGTATGCTTAGATTTGCAGATGATATAGGCAGTTTTAGCATCTAGCAAGGAGGAGTTAGAGATAGCTTTAAGTAAAATAGAAGCGGTATTGACAAAAGAGTACTGTATGAAAATGAATAAAAGTAAAACAAAAATACTGGTATGCAAGGATAGGAAAAGTAGGGAAAGAGCGAATACAAAGATGGAAGACGAAAAATTAGAAGAAGTGGCTGATTTTAAGTATCTAAGAAGTCAGATAAATCAGGGCGGAAGGAGTAGTAGGGATGTAAAGCAAAGGATAGCGCAGGGTCGAGACGCCTTCGATAAAAAGAAGTCACTTCTATATGCTCGCGAACGTTAAATTTAAAAATTCGAAAAAGGTTGTTAAAGGTGTATGTTTGGAGCACGGCGTTGTACGGGTGCGAAACATGGACAGTGGGCGCGGCGAAAAAGAAAAGGTTAGAAGTGTTGGAAATGTGGTGTTACATGCGAATGATGAGGATACCGTGGATAGAGAAGGTTAGAAATGAATAGGTATTAGAAAGAATAGGAGAACAGAGGACTCTACGGAAGTCAATAGGAAATAGCCGAGATAGGTTAGTAGGACACCTTCTCATGAATGAAAGTCTAGTCGGAGACATATTAGAGGTAGAAACGGCAGTTAGGAGGAGTAGAGGTAGACCTGAGGTAGACCTAAGTTAGATTACTATTCGCAAATAGTTAAGGATATGGGTTGCTATAGGTTTAGGGAAATGCGAAGATTAGCGCAGGATAGGAAAAAGTGGAGGTGCGTGTCCAATCAGTCTTATTAGGACTGATGATCTTATGATGATGATGAACATATCAGCCCGCCTCCGCCGGGCAAGGATATTAAATCAACTCCAATATGTCATAGTTTAGAGTATATTATTCACAGAAAGCATTAGTTTTATACATTTCCTAGAAGTCCTAAGAAATGTATACATTTCCCTTGATATGTGTGTATTAAAAAAGCTTTGAAATAATATTTTATGCATTTCCTAAATAGTCTCGGAATTGTAGATATACAATTCCTGGGAATTCCTGGATTTCATACATTTTCGGTAACATATACATGGTGTACGCTTTCTATATAGGGTGGACCCTACCTATTAAAATACCTCGAGTTACTAACAGATGGCTTTTTCCATATAGGGCGCTGAATAAAAATTAGTATAACATGAATGTTTTTGAATTTTATTTTTTAGAAAAATGTTTTGTAATAAATTTCACTGGATAGTTACGTGCAAAATATGGTTAAATAACCTTTTTGATAATGGTAGATCATCCGTAATTCGGATTTCTATGTGTGGTAACCTATACGATGAAAAGTAGTAATTTATTATCTGCAAGCTATTCGTAACATATAGGTGCTCGAGTATGAATGAAAGGCTTCACTTATTCAAGTGTAGAGGAATTAAAAGTGTTGTTTACTAGCTGTAGCAATCCTAGCAGCTGAAACAGCTTCCGCATAAAGATGATACTTCAATGCGCGCTATTCAAAATAACTCCGTGTTGCTCCATGTCTACTTGAAAAAAAAAAAAAGTTTTAAAATGTTTGCAGAGATTTCCTGGTTATTTACGATAGCAGTTTTACGATGACAATTATCAGTTTTAGTTTAGAGCTATCCCCCAACAATAAAATCTGCTGCTGCGCTATGCAATGGATAAAATCTTTTCATCTCAGAGTTGTATTTTTGTTTCGAACGATAACCCCATTTTCATAGCATTTATTTAAAATAAATCGAGTGTTTTTGTTCGCGTGAAAAATTTGCATGTTTGCAATGATACGAAAACTTTTAAAGGAGAAATGGAAATTTAATTTATTAAGCCAGGTTTTGTTAATATATATATATAATAAATTATGAGTGCTGTCAGAACACGGTAAAGTAGTATTACGTAGTTAGTATCATCAATTTCTTATGCTCAAGTGTACGATGTGTTGCATACCTATTTACAAACAATTCCTTTAAATTTAATTTTTGAAACAATTTTTAACACGAAGAAAGTACTTGTATTCAAAACGATGTCTCCCTAGACTACAGAAAACAATCTTTTACTTGTTAGATAGGAAACGATAGAAAGGTTGTTGCTACCGGAATAAGAAAACGTCAGCAAGACAATTTAGCTTGAAAATATAAAGCAAAAAAGATAAATTTGCTAAAAGAAAGTCACCAGATATAGTCTAATATTTTCGAAAAGTTGATATTTTCACTTCGGTATTTTTACTGTTAAATAAAAAAGCAAAATGAATAGGCGGGTATATTTTTAGGGGACGGTTCCATCAAGCAATTACAAAATAAAATAAATGAAGCGAACATTTGCAATTATTAATTTAATGCAAATGTCTATTTGTGTGTTTTAATTGTCCCAGTTAAAAACATCATACTCGATTGAAGAATATTCACAATTTAAACGCAACAACATATGAATATTTACTGCGATAAATAGCGAACGAAATAATATTTATTGTTAAGGATGTTCAAATAATAAAATATAAGAGAAACGAAGAAAACAGAAGCTAAGATTTATTAAATTTGCATGCGCCATAAACAAAACGTCTAGACTTTTTACCATATATACTGATACGGAAAATCGGCAGGTACCTTTATCCGGAAAATGAACAGTAAGGGACGAAGGGTTATTGCCATAGACAGAATTATTGAAATCTGCACTACTCCAGATGTTATCTTTATTCATGCGGCCTGAAGACGACTCGGCTGTCGTTGGCTTTGGGGAGGTTGTCGGGGGTGATGATGCTACAAAGAAAATAAAACCCATTCATTATTTCCGCTGCACACTCCAAACATGAAATTTAACGGGAAATCGCTTTTTAATTACATGTAATTCTTTTTGTCAGGGCGGTATTAGAATTAATATGATTCCGTAGTTGTTATTATCTATTATGGTATTATTGAACCTTTTTTTTATCAATGTATAGGTACGCAAAGAGACAATTTTCACACTTTGTTTTTACAATTACCTAACAACAAACTATGTCTAGGATTTAGACACTAGAATTTTATGTAATGAGTGATCCTTTATGTTCAATGCTTTTTTTAACGATTGTAAGGTTGCATTTATGAAAAATTTTGCGGTTTTTGTAAATCATCTACTTATAAGACAAACTGCTTCTTAAAATCGAACAAGTACTTGAAATTAAGAACTACGAATTTGTGCAGATAAAACAAGCATTTACCTAATACGTAAAGAAAATTGAAAGCATAATTAGCAAAACAATCTAACTAGCTGCAATAATTGTATAAAGGGTCACGTTGCGGTTTAATAGCGATACTGATAGATCTACTGCAAAAATGAGTAATCGATCGCGGTTTTTCGAATATTACCGCTCATCAGCACACCGCAGATTGTTACGATTGATGTTTCAACAGGTACATTTATGTAATAGAAAACGTTTTCTATTTTCTACCGTTTTTCGCCATGGCAAATCATTAAAAGTATGATCACAATCTTACATGTCCGAAAAAACGTATTTTATACACACGATAAGTGATTTTATGACTGTTTTATACGGAATGTTCCGAATCATGTAATCTCCGTGGGGATCGTCAGGACTGCGGAACACGTAGACGCCGCTATATGAGATAAAATGATAAAGCATTTGAGGGGACATTCGGACATTAATATAAAAAAAATTGCGTTCAAAATTAGAAACGAAAACTTATTACAGTATCAGAGAAAATGGGATAGTTTATGAGTTAGAAACACAGTACCTGTGTACGTTTCTGGAAAAAATGTTTTTTTCGATCAACTTATACAATTATTAAGCAATCTCATTTCGTTTTTAGTTGGGTATATAATACAATTTATTGGGGTAGGGGTGGTACGCCACTGGTGAGCGAGAAGTGAGAAGGAAGACGTTTTCTGTAATCGTGTCAAATTGCGAGCACCTTGTATATCTGTGATTATATATGATCACGTAATAACAAGTTGCTGTGGTAAGGCATAAACGATGTAGTAATACGCGGGAAATTGAGTTTATTTTAAGGGAAAATCCTGTAAATGATACAGGGTATCATTCAGCGGAACGTCGGTGGCGATAATTCAGCAATTTTTCAAGTGAAAACGCACATTTGTAGGATTATTTTGGAGTTATCTCGGAAACGAACGTATAAAAGTCAGCAGTAGCGGTAGCGTAAAGCGGGACTTTGGGCCAAACTGTTGCTATAGTAACGACACGTGTTGAGCACGGCATTACTTTGTGAATCTTGTCACGTTATGAGATGAAAAGGGACCTCTGGGAAACGTAGAACGAGACAGAGCTTTGCCTCCACCCGATATGAACCGAGACGCAAAAGCCAGAGGGTGCAATGACAGTAGGCACAGTATTACCATTACCAGTGGCAGAACGCTCGGGCTTTACAAGGGCAATTAGTTTCCTAACAAAAACTATCACTCTTCGATATTTGTTAACAACTCTTACCACAATCGAAATGTATTCATCGAAAAATCAATCCTCAACTCAATATTAACAATTTCCGAAGTTTTCCAAACAACAATATTATCAATGAAACGAGAACTATAAATTGGTATAAATTAAGACACTTAAGATAATGTTTTAGAAATCAATTACAACATGGCAATACATATACTCCTTTATGATTATTTCAATCCTGAATCTGTTACTTTTCAGGATACTCAATCAATTTTAGAGAATCGAGTTAAAAATAGTTGATCAATTAGGTACCATTTTTTTATAAAAACAATAAGGGCACCTTAGACATGAAGGGCTAGTTAGGGACGTATTGGAAGCAGAAATAGGAGTTAAAAGGGGCAAAGGTAGACCTAGATTCGATGACTGTTCAGAAATATTTAAGGATGTGGGATGTTTTAGTTTAAAAAAAATGTGGTGAAGATTAGCTCAGTATAGGAAAGAGTGGAGATGATGATGATGAAGCAATAAATTGCCTTCTTGCGAAGCTGTTTTATCTAATTTTTTCTACACAAATTATATAATTTTTGTTAAACAAGTCACAAAAGTTACATGAACTTTAGCAATTGATAAATGAATTTAAACTAGATATACATATGTCATATGATTTTTCCATTGCTCCTTGTTCTCGGTTAGTTTTATGCATGTAGTATGGATGGAGAAAATTTCCTTGTTACACCCCTGCCGAATAAAAACCAAAGCGCAGAAATTAAGTTAACATAACTATGTACATATGTCACTCAAATTTGTACTCTCCAACCCACCAGAAAAGCGCGGTCGTGCTAACAGAATATTGTCTGTATGAATATTAACGGCGGCGAAAGAAAAAAGGGAAGAAAGAGATTGAAAAGCGAAGGAACTGGAACTTGATAATATTTTATGAGAACGACAGGACGAATTTAATTTGTTACATACTCCTTTATTTATTATTATTTCTGTATTTTGATAAGCCTATCTACTTAGGGGTATTTACCAAAATTAGTATACAGGGTGGTCAGGTTTTTCACAGAAGAAATGGATGAAAAGTTACTAACCAAAATTAGTAAATAGTAAATTTTTTCGGGAGCGCAAACGGAACTAATGTAGCGGTCCTGCGTCCTTGTCGCGAATATTCCGTTACTAGCACACGCACCGTTAATATCAACGAAATAATCCTAGATAGAACTTCTTCTTGACTTCAAAATTGCACTTTTAACTTAAAATTTACATCACTGAGTAAAAACTATACAAAATAAATAAATAGTGTCCGACCGAAACTGGTTTTTAGGACCGAAACCGAAACCGAAACCGAATTTCGGCAACGGTCTCAGTTTCGGCCGAAACCGAAACCGAAACTTCCTTATAAGGATCATGTTTTAAGAGAAAAATAAAGAAAACGTTATTATAATCAGTCAGTTTTATTTTTTATCTTTAAATCACATTTTCACTTATTGATAATCAAATCAAACTCAACATAACAACCCCTCATTTAAGGAAATACTTTAATTGCGCCTTAAAAATACTTAAAACGTTTCGTTTGGATGGAATTTAACGCGCCGAACATGACCGAGCAGAGCGCGAGAACTCCCGAACGCAGTTTCGGTTTCGGTCGTAGTTTCGGCAGGTTTGCCGCCGAAACCGAAACTAAACCGAAACTCGTTTTTTTGCCGAAACTCGACCGAAACCGAAACCGAAACCGAATTTTCGGTCGGACACTATAAATAAACGCTATAACTGTATTAGTATTTTCGAAATGAAATTATTAGAACTGGCTAAGGGGGAGCTGAATGTCCTGGACGTTTTTAGATAAAAGTAAGAAACTAGTAAGAGAATAAAATTTGGAAAATATCAACATACGAAATATTAGGAAATAGATTTATGCCCTAAACTATAATAAAATTAACAATGTTAAAGAGGGGTCGCTGAAAGTTGGTTTAGGTACCTGCGCAACATGCAGCTTTGCAACGAGCAATTCCATTTAAATTGTGTTTTGAATACGGCCAAGTTCGGCCAACAGATAAAAGTAGTAAATTTTTACGACTTGTTTTACTGTGCTGTTCCGATATATTGATTTTCAAAAAGATCAGAGATAATATTTTGTTAAGTTCCGATAAGCCGAATGCAGAACTTCCGTAATTGCGGATGCGGAAGCAGATATCTGTTGTGTCCCTAGTACAGGTACAATTGAACGTAGGTAAACTCTCAATTATTTTTGTGGTAGGATTTGGTGCCTATACTAAAATGTAACAAAATTTGTTTAATTGAAAGCAAATTAATTCATCATTTGCGTACACTAACAGCAGGAAATTCAATTGTTAAGCAGGCTGCAATTTAGTAATCGAAATAAAGGAGGCACCTACGTACATAAACGACAGCAACCTGTAAATGGGACTCTCATGTTGTATTTCACTCACTTAGTTTGCATTAATTGCACGAAATATGCAAAATTGAACCAGAAATTTGAACAAACGCACAAATTCTATGTACAGTCGAATTTCTATAATTGGAACCACGATAACTTAAAATCATTTCGAACTGAAATATTTTTTGACATTGAAGGTACATACTGTTTTATATTATGTACAAACTCTTGAACTAACGCGAAATTCGAGTGCGGGTTGCACATTATAAATTGTCTCATTAATTCGAATTTCCATTGATTTTCTTCGGAAAAATCAGCCGCAACGATAATCAAAGACTGGAGCTTTTATGCGGAACTTAAATTTTCTTTACGAAAAACAGTAAGGGAAAAAGCGGTTAGCTTAGGATCATAAGGTAGGAAATGACAACACGAACGAAATATCTACTTATATTGTCTGTTACAGCTTTGCAAAACTTTGTTTTTATCTGTTGTAGCGACGGTAGCTAATTAATTTTTAATTCAAAACGATTTTACTTTCTTTTACTGATTTGTAAGAACCCGATTTTTGACGTGACAACGTCTTATAATTCGATGGAGCCGGCTGCACGCACGAAAAAACATGACTCATGCGGCGTTACCTCGCTCTGAGGCGTTCCATTTAAGGCTTGAAGTGCAAGCGAGAGCGCGGAACGAGCGACAAAGAGGCACAATCGGCCTCCGCGTTCGACATCTGTCTCTCTCCTACTTGAGTGAGCGATGCGTCCGCGTGGACAGTTGCTATACAATAATACATTTCCATTTACCTCCTTCTCTATACCCATACAAAATATCTATCAAAAAAAAAAATTTTCTTTTGAAAAATGAAACCATTCCATTAGTATTTTCTTATGACGTTGTCACGTTCAACTATCGTCAGTAAACCGACTTTACAGACAACCGATTTTTTTATAGAAAAAATATGACTAGTGCATAAACATCATTTTTTCGACAGAAATGAAAGTGAAAAAAGAGAAAAGGTATAAAGGGCAAAATGATTTTCTTTGATATAAACAGGCAAAGGGATGGTTGTTCGAGAATAATATCATAGTTGACATCGATATTTTCCGATACGAAGTAGCAGTAAGCTGTCTTTTAAACGGAAGTTTAACGACTTTTAGAACTTTATCAAATTTTAGAAATTACTTTAGACGAACAGCTTAAGTAACATTGATTCCCTCGATAATTTTCTAAAAGTTAGAACGTAAGGAACAACTTTGCTAATGCACAGATTGGGCTGTTTCAAATGGTACTTTTTAATTTACAAAATTATATTAGGCAACGGACACTTAGGGTAATAATCTAATAATCGAAGAATACAAACAATTTGTATACGCCGTAACACTTAATAATTAAGCTAAGAAATTATCAATTAACGAGCAGTTGAAATAAGTAAAAATAAAAATGTTAAATTTTAATATTTTAGCGTGTCGACAGACAGACAACAGTAAAAGGATTGTATATATGTCAAAGCAATTAAGGGGCATATTAAATAGTAAGATATTAAAGAATATTAAAAAGTTAGTTTCTGACATTAAATATTATCAATCGGGGTCTCAAACAGTGCAATTCAATGTTACAGTTTAACTTTCTTCCCCTATCCATTGTTTAGCTCTCCGTTTTCCCCGTCTACGAGAAGATAATAACACAGACGGTGCTGTGGTAGTAGAACATTGTAATTAAACTACGTAAAGTTATTAAGATTAGGCTACAGGCGGTATCAGTAATATCTTAATATTTGCTTTGAATGGAATGAATTCTAAGTGGCACATAGCAGTTGTTTAAAAGTCCTACAAACATTTTATCTTATAATTACTTATTAATTTAACGCATATACCACCATGACGTACTAATTCATGTAATAAATATCCACATTATTGCTCAATTTGGACCGTAAAGAACCTCTACTTTAAATACATAATAAATATAAAATGTTGTTTACCTTGCATATGCTACCTCTCACAATAGGCATGGGTATTTTGTTAAGAATGAACATAAAAATAAGGAACGCTAATTCAACTAGAAGTTTTCTACTTTGTTAACAATCGTAGCATTAACAAACAACATGATTTTCTTAAATCACAAGCATCTCGTTAATAGGGAAAAAAGAGTCCGGTAGAAATAGGTTTTTTTATACATCTAATACTTTTTGCGATTTTTCTTCAAGTTAACTTTCTAATAGTATATATCCACTCCGCTCTCCTTTTACACATCGTTAGGGAAGTAATATTGATCAAGCGCAAAAAGAAAAGAACCCGTTGTTTTTACTAGCTAAAGGGCCGTATTGCAAAATCTAGCGACAATTTCCTTTAATGATTATCTTCCTCATTTTTACGTTTACAAAAAAAATTAGCCCACTCGAGAGACGGTACAAAAATGAAATTACGTTTTTTAGTTCGTAGTAGCGTTTTATATCTCATAACGTTACAACTTTAGCGTCCACTTTTGCCATTATTTCGAATTGAAACTAAAAACATTTTACTATTTTTTTTTTGTTTACGACTAGATATCATTTAAATTATTGACCTTCAACGTTTGTGCTTTTACGTTTCTGAAATTGGAAATATTGACATTAAAATTTTGATGAGAATGACTTCTTTTGCCCGGGGGACTTTCCCTTAAAATTTCGTATTGTTAGAAAAAGATAAGTAACAAAATTTCTTTGAATAAGTATTTTCTAATGGTTTTTAAGTTCCAAGTAAATGAACGCGACGAAAAAGAAGCTGTAAAAAAACGTAACCTTCCTACAAAAGGGGCTATTTTTAAATTGGCTGTCAAGACATTAAAAAGACTACAGTTATTAATTCTCGAATATTTCCGTTTGTATTGAGTTTCTTTATTTACTTTTCATGCATATTACAAAAGAAGTGAAGAAAAATAGAGACTTTGAAATTATTTTTTAATTTCAAACCGTTAGAAAATAACATTCCAGATCAAGCTACAAAAGATCAACTTGATGAAGCTTTTGCTTTCCAAGTTTAATTATACAGAGAGAAAAAAAAAGAATTACTTACTGTAAAGTCTGATTGAGCCGTCCGTTTCACCTCTAGGGTTTTTCGCTACACACTTGTACGCTCCAAAATCTGCTTCTTGTATGTTATTGATGGTAAGACGCATATGAGTTTTATAAGCGGGGTTGCCAATGATGTTTTCGGTGTGATATTTTTTCGACTCGTGGATCATATGGCCGTCTTCTCTAGTCCAGTAATTCAGCGAACTTGGATGAGCTTCAGCAAAACATTCTAGTGTTACAGAATATGCCAATGGAGCGCCTACCAACTGGTGAGGAATCCATAACATCGGGGGGACTGGAAAGAAAGACGAAAATCAAATTGGATATGCTACTAACAGGAATAATACAACCACAATATTATTACAATTGTATGTGATGAATTGTATAGTCACTACAAAAAGATTTTAAATTTTCATAAGAAATTTGCAATTATTTTGATGCGGTTGTGTCTCTATGTTTGAAACTTAACCACAGTAGATATTGTTTATAATGATATTCACAATAGTAGCATAAAGGTTTATAAATTATATCTACAGTGGAATTCATTTATTATGGCTCCGCCTATATTGATCAACCGCTTAATACGAAGTAATTGCAGTGTTACGTTTGGTTTGCTTTAGGAAAGTTTCGATATAATGGCTCCGTTTAAAATGACATATCGTTTATTATGTTGATTCTCAAGAAATCATATCCGGCTATAGTGACCCAAATGATTAATAATAACATTTTCGCTCATTTTTCTGACCCAAGCCAAAATAGAAAGTTGTTTATTTTCTAAGACTATGCTTTGTATGACGCCCGCTTAGTATGACGTGACATTTCCCTTCGATGTCATTATAAACGGATTCTACTGTATTTTATTTTTCTTATCATCAATCGCTGCTATAAAGTCATCTTAAAATCGATAATACGGTAACCCTACGTATTTATGGTTTTGTAAATTGATCTTGTAGATCTACGGTGAAAAGAAAGTCGTTGAAGAGAAGCTCTCGAGGATGTTGAAGGTGAAAGGGAGCGATAGTCGATTATAGCGAATGGAATGTGCAAATAGTGCATTTGCTTATTTAGGAAAGAGTTAATCTCAAGTCAAAAAGACCAATCTAAAGAGCGACATGTTAGCGTAAAGCCACGAAAATGTTTTGCATTTAGAACGGTTACAAAGGGTAAATGATCATGTAAACAGGGTAGGTTCTTTCAGGGACGCCATTGTCGCTCAGCAACCCCAGAAGCGAAAGCTCCCTCAAAATATCGTCTCATACACACCTTTCAGCTTTGAACTACCGAACTATTTTGCATACTATAATGAAAATACGTTTCTGTAGGTGGCAGCGAAGCCTTCTCGAACCTTAAAAGAAATTCTGCGTTAATCGATAAGTAATACTTTTTTTTAAATATCGACTTTTTAAACTGTTCCCGCATTCGAATAAAAACTGCTTCCTTAAAAGAAAAAAATACCAACCGCGAAGCCAAATTACATTCCGCTACAATTAATGAAATGAAATAACTTCCATTTTTTTTATACCTACGCTTTTCTCAAGAAAATGTCAAGAAAATTTATTTTAATTATGGTGCGTATACCACTATGGTTCTACGATAATTATAAATTATTTTTGTATCTCTAAACTAAAATTTTAGTCCACGAAACAAACCGAGAAACGTTATCCCTATTGTCATGTGTTGTGTAACTTCACTTTTCTCTTTTTTTTTTTCTTTATTTGGCGATTACGTAAAATGGAGAGAATTTTATTTTCGTTATTGGGACGAAAATGTACCTTTAGATATTGCATAATGTTAGGTACAGATGCGACGTAAAATGTAATCGACTAAAAGACAGATTTGTCTGGGGCCTTAGAAATGAGGGACGAAATTACAGCAGACAAATACAATGTCTGAGGCGGAGAATTTCTGTTAGCTCAATAATTGGAACCATTTTCAGAATAGCAGCTAAAAGACATTAAATGTGATGATAACAGAGTTAAAGTGTTGTAGGTTAAACGTCCGAGTAAAAGTTAAGATTTCAGAACTTAAGAGATTCTTTCTTATACGATTTATTACATTCACTGGTTTCTCCCGTTCTATTTTTCGATTTTTCTGGCTCATATTTATTGGAGAAAACGTACTACCTACCAACTTTCGGTGTGAAAACTTTTGTAATATCAAAAACAGGCTCCACAGTAATATCGTTTAACCGAAACAATTGTAGAGTCCTTTTTGTTATATTATTAGGCTGTATTTTGTATCTATATAGGTACCTACTAGTTGAATTCATTCAGTTGACGAACTCCAAAATATGTAAATCAACCCTGAAACAGTATAAAATGTTTTAGGATTTCAATTAGAGGTTACATTGGACTGGGTAAGGGCTAAATAAACGTGCCCTTTAACATAAAGGACAGTTTTGAATTAAATTATTAATTATCTATCAGAGGTGCAATGATTCGAGTGATAAATGCTTTTTGACCTTAGTTCGATTTAGAGTAGGGTGTTTTATTAAATTAACTAGATAGGACACCATTTAAATGGTTCGAAATTCAGGAATTAGAGGAAGAGACAATTTATTCAAGACAGATTTTAAAAGCTTAGCAGCAAAACTGAATTTTAAATAGAAAGAGTGAATTCGTTTCGAAAGGGAGAATGATGTTTGACATCCATCTTGTCAACTCCTGGAAGGTACAACGAATTAAATTAAGTTATGCGCAGACTACTATCATATACTACGTCAGGCAGAAATAGAAAACACACCAGTCCGTACCTACCAATGTTAGTTTTTCTCGTTAATTAATTAAAAATGTGAAAAACTTCATATTCTTTTCACTTAACGAAAGAGTAATTGCGTTTTTTATCACATACGAGGTAAATCTGAAAAGTAAAACGATTCACTTACCCTGTCAATTAAAATTATCTCAGTAAAAAACTGAGATGGGTTGTTAAATTTTGTTATATATAAATAATCTTAGAACACTATATGAGTGTATAAAATTACATAAAGAGCTTGGTTATTATAATAGGAAGCACAAGATTCCGGATAATTTCAACTAAGTAAAGATACCCAGTTTAACTTCCATAGATAGTGTAGCATAAGCAAAACATCGAAATTTCGTGGAACATCGCACTAAAGGCAGTAGGTTTTTGTGGAAGAACAAATATTGGAATAATTCCTGATATTACAAATGAATGAATCTGTTACTAACTTTAATTAACAGTTGTTGGCTTTTATGTCGTACATGCACCTGATATCTAGATATTTTTAAGGCTTTGTAAATACAGTTGAAAATGTAACAGCAACATATGCACCTACAATTTTTTTTTATACATATAAATCAGTCAATGAAGAGTAAGTTGAAACGACGTTGGATTTTGCCAACCCTCATAAAGTTCACGGAGCGGAAATAATAAAAAGCAATAGCGATGAAGCATGTTGTTTACAAGGACACTTAAATTCGAACGCAGTCAAACCGAACCAAATTAAAACAATGGTAAATAACAATAGTTCGATTGAATATGAATAATTACCTCACAATATTTCATAGATGTTGCATATTTAATTAGAATTACAATTTACACCTTGAGTAAAAATAAAACCGTTTTCAATGAGGATAAGTGTATACAACTTTTGATAAAAAAATATAAACTGAATTTGTAAAAAAAAAGTAATAAAATAATTGCATTAAAATCGCCTGGCCTAAGGAAGTGAAATTAATAATTATGCATTACATTTTTGTTCAAATAAATTTACAGCGGAGAATGTTTTTAACACATACGAAGTCATTTGAACTAAAAAGTTGTAGTTGCTGACTTAAAAAACATAAAAAATGGTTCGGTTGAAAAAAATTTCGTCTGTTATGATCATCATAACTAAAACTGCGCCTGTTTTGCACCAAAATTCTTTTCTTCTTGTATGTATTAGATACCTACCTACCTAACATATTTTTTCATGTATTAAAGACGGTTTTTTTATTGCTGCAAAACTGATGCGATAATTTGACTAACAGGGAAATATGAATCTATGAAAATTTGAATGTATTATACTTGTAAATTAGTTGTGCAGACTGCAGTAAGCCAGCACGTTGGAGTGAATGAATAGTTCACAAATTTCCTAACGAGTTACAAAGTGGTGCGTGAATCCTACCCTACACATTTCCGTCTCATACGCTTATCGCACGTATGTAAATACACACACAACGTCTATTACATAATGTATGTAATACGTTTAGGTACGTTACTGGTACATGTATTATACGAAGGTACAAATGGGTAACAAGCTGCAACGGCAATGTTTCCTATTATTGTTACCCAAAACGCATATTCAACATTAATCAAGCTGCAATACGGTTATCTAATTTGCTCAATTGTTGCCATAATTCTCGTGGACTAGCCACTACAGCTCGTTATATCCCCACGTTAACACCCTTCTTTTAATTATTCTACAATCCTTTACAATATATGTATCTATTTTAACTTTTTAATATCTATGCGAATTACAGCAGCCGTGCACATCAAAAATCAACGCAATACAATACAAAAACAAATTGATCCTTATGAAGAAAAGACCCTCTATTAAACTTATTGAAACATTGAATTCTAATAGTTCTTGACGTGTAGATTAAAAGTCCCTATGGGCGCTTAGACATAAAAATTCATCATTTTGAGATATGGTCGCTTAAAGCTTCCGTAAGGTACAATTATACCTATTATTAAATATAATTATACGTATAATTGTATCTTGGAAGTCCTTACTGAAGAATGCAACTTTAAGGAAACATATCTGAAAAAGAGGGGGTTTACGATTTAGCGCCCATTGAGACTTTTAATCTATACGTCAAGAACTACCAGAATCTTAAGTTTCAAACAGTTTCTCTAGCGGGGTCCTTTGTACACGTGTAGAATAAAAGTATTTATCGTACTATAAAATAATCTTCTAGTGTAGAAATGTCATCTCTACTTTTTAATCTATACATCGAAGACGCAATCAACATCATTACAGATGTAGGGATAGATATACAGGGGCAAAAGATTAGTATGCTTAGATTTGCAGATGATATAGCAGTATTAGTATCTAGAAAGGAGTAGTTAGGGATACCTTTAAATAAAAGCGTTATTGACAAAACAGTATTGCATAAAAATGAATAAAAGTAAAACAAAAGTAGGTACTAGTTTGCAAGGGAAGAAAAAGTGGGGAAAGAGCAAAAATAAAGATAGGAGACGAAAAAATAGAAGAAGTGACTGATTTTAGGTATCTAGGAAGTCAGATAAGTCAGGACGGAAGGAGTAATAGGGATATAAAGCAGAGGAGCAGAGGATAACGCAGGGTCGAGTCGCCCTCAATAAAAACAAGTCACGTATATGCTCGTGAATGGTTAATTTAGAAATTTTAAAAAAGATTGTTGAAGGTGTATGTTTGGAGCGCGGCGCTGTACGAGTGCGAAACATGGACGTTGGCCGCTGCGGAAAAGAAGCGTTCGAAATGTGGTGTTACCGGCGAATGATGAGGATACCGTGGATAGAGACGGTTAGAAATGAAGGGGTATTAGAAAGAGTAGGAGAACAAAGGACTCTATGGAAGTCAATAAAAATAGGTGAGATAGGTTGGTAGGATACCTTCTCAGGCATGAAGGTCTAGTCAGAGACATATTAGAGGCAGAAGCAGGAGTTAAGAGGAGTATATTGATTGGATTATTGTTCGCAAATAGTTAAGGATGTGGGATGTTCTAGTCTTCTAGAAAAAAGTGGCGGGTCTAAATGACTATTCAGATGTACAAATTACTGCCTAGATGTGATACTAATTAAATATTTTAGTTATATTGTTTTTGTTCAGAGAAATTTATAATTATAATCATGTGGGCAGTATTACGATGACGTTTTTGAATTTGTTGGGCACATTGACACATGCAAATTTCATTTGAAACTATATAGGTACTACTTTGCAAGAACTCGAACCTTTTGTTTATTGATATTGTTTTTCCGAATTGCAGTAAATAAAAGGGTAAATTTAATAACAGAGCGCGCGTGTGTGTGTGTGTGTGTGTTGGTAAATGTAACACTATATACATGGTCCTTTCATATATACACTAAATACGTATATATATTTAATAAATATCTATTGTGGGAGACTATCGCTAGCGGGTATATAAGTACGATGGAGCGAAAAAGAGAGAACGGCAAGCATTACATCAATAATTAATTGCCATATGAGCTGACCGTAATAGGATCTCTCATATCGCTGCTCTATGTTGACATCGCGTTGTTCACCAAGTGATAAATTAGTTAGTTGTATTATGTATTTGCAAAAGAGTTTTCACTGCCCACTGCCACACCATAAACCGTTGTAACAAAAACCTCTTACATTAATAACCCTTTACCAGCCGTGATGCTACACATTCCAATAAGTCAAAAAGATTGACTCTAATAACGTAAGAAAATTTACTTTAATTAATACGAAATTGCACGCATCCAAAATGAAAAAACAAAAATTAAATGTGACAAAATTTATTCCCTAATTAAAATAATCACCACCCAATCATAAATTATTTGCCTTGTAACGCAATAATGAAGATAATAACTTAGTTGCTTCTTATCATACATTAGAATTAGACCAAAACTATTATTTTGGAATGCTCTCTATCATTTGCCTTTGAAACTTCATTTGTCTTTGGGCACATGTTAAAATTAATATTTAAAATGTTGTAAATAATTTCCGATAATAAGTTCATCTAAATATTCTACGGTATTGATTAACCCAGTAATTACTGGTCATATAATTATGTATAACATTGTCAAACTTCTAACCAAATAGTTTAACTTGGAAAGTTTAACTAGGTAGTGCCTACGCTAAAGTTCGATTGAAGTTTAATTGAGAAGTTTAATACAGGTTCAAAAAGTTATTTACGTTTCACTCTGCGTTGTGACTTATTTATTTCGTTGATTCTACAAAGGATTCGATAATTTAGCGATAACATTTAGAAAAATAATTGCAACGAAATGCGCGTCAGATTATTAGAAATCGGTCCAGTTCGATAATAATCGAAAAAATTTTTCAATGGACAGGAATGCCATTAATAAGCAAATATCTCCATAAATCGTTTATAAAACGAATCCAAACAAATACCTACTTCAATAGTGTTTGTGGAATTTATATTACTAATTGCAATGGCTTCGGATTTCGTGAGTAAAAATCATGAGCTGACTGTGTGAACTCATGGTGCATATAAACTAGAGATAAATTTAATTGTACTTACAATCAACGCTGACTTTGATTCGTTTGCTAACGGTTGGAGGCACCCCATTGCTGGCTATACAAAGATAAGCGCCCATGTCGAGTCGTGAAATTTTTGTTAACTCCAAGGATTCACCTTCCCATTCCAGAACTGGAAAGAAAAAATCATTTTGTAGATTTATAGAAGGACTCCTTTTAAATGTGAAAATAGATGGTTGTTTTTGGAAAAACTGATAGAGGTTTAGATTAACGGCGTTTGGAAATGCTTTGGCCCCTTTTTTTTTAGATTTTCGCCCGAGCAAGTAAGAATGATGACCGTTGTAGGAGTCACAAATTCATCTATACCTGGCGTGAAAGTAAGTTCCACATGTAAGAAAGAACACAAGTAGATAAGTGTTACCAACCTGTGAGGGTTCTATTTATGGTAATTTTGGAGTTATCGTCTCTCTTCCATTTCACGGTGGGTTGGGGTGAACCGGTGGCTTTGCAGGTTAGCGTCTCGTTGGCGCCTTCTCGAACTATTACGTCTGTACTGCTCTGCGAATCATCGATGTTCGGCGGAACTGGAAAATAAAAACCGACAAATGCATACATATATTATAAAATTTTTCTTCTTTTTCTACCGTTCTCAGCTTTCAGTAGAATTGCAACTTCGCAAACAATAAGACTTAAAACAAATTACCTGCACTCATTCTACTACAAGGACCCTAAAATGTTTTCATCACAAACAGGACGATTATCAAACTTATAAGGGATATTTAGACAGTGTTTTGATTTAATGAATACTGGTATTGGTATAAATAATAGAATTGGAATATAACTAACTGGTTTGAACTATAGATTTAATCGATACTTTGTATCGAGACGTGAAAATTCCCAGAGGATTATAAACGGAACGTCCTAGTACAGTAACCATACCTAAAAAGAGAGGCGCGGATGGGTGCGACACATTTAAAACAATTAAGTTAACATCAAAAATCTTAACTAGAATTGTACCGAGGAGGATGGAAAAAAGGGCGGAAGAACTATTAGGGGAAGATCAATTTGGGTTCAGAAGAAATAGAGCTTTACGGGTAACAATAGAGAAAACGATAGAAAAAATATACTTAAAAATGTAAGGATGAGAAATGATGAGATAAGAAGAGTGATACTTAGTTATAAAGAGCAACAGGCAGTTATAGAGCTGAAGATGCAATGTAGAGAAGTAAATATTAGGAAGGGAGTCAGACAGGGATGCACACTGTCACCGCTACTCTTTAATCTATACATCGAAGATGCGATCAACATCATTAAAGATAGTACAACTGTAGGGATAGATATACAGGGGAAAGAGATTAGTATGCTTAGATTTGCAGATAATAGGCAGGAAGAGTTAGAGTAAGCTTTAAATAAAATCGAAGCGGTATTGACGAAACAGTATTGTATGAAAATAAATCAAAGTGAAGAAAAAATAGGGAATGAGCAAATATAAATATAGAAGACGAAAAATTAGAAGAAGTGACTGATTTTAGGTGTTTAGGAAGTCAGATAAGTAGGAGGGAAGGAGTAGTATGGATATAAAACAGAAGATAGGTCCGGGTCGAGTCGCCTCGAGGTGTATGTTTTGAGCGCGGCGCTGTACGGATGCGAAATATGGACGGTGGGCGCGGCGGAAAAGAAAAGATTAGAAGCGTTGGAAATGTGGTGTTACAGGCGAATGATGAGGATACCGTTGATAGAGAGAAGGTTAGAAATGAAGAGGTATTAGAAGGAATAGGAGAACAGAGAACTCTATGGAAGTCAATAAGAAACAGACGAGATAGTTTGGTAGGACACCTTGTCAGGCAGGTCTAGTCGGGGAGACATATCAGAGGCAGGAACAGGAGTTAAAAGGAGTAGAGAAAGACCTAAATTAGATTACTGTTCGTAAATAGTTTTGGGGAAATGCAAAGATTAGGTCAGGATAGGAAAAAGTGGAGGTGGATGTTTACGCGGTCTTAGGACTGACGACCTTATGATGATGGGGTAGATATTTTTATAAATCGAGAATGGGTGGTTTGTGAAAGAAAAAAAGGGAAAATTCAGTGTAGTATTTTTCGGAGATTTCAGACATTTGTATGTAATCGGGCTGTATTCGTATTTCGTGTTTACTCCGCAAAGAGAATGGAATTTCCACTTATCCTGCGTACAAATTGACGTGGAATGAAATATTCTTTGGAGATACAAAGGAAAAATAAATATTATTCAAAATTTTCTTTATTTAATTTGCTTTTAGAAAATATAAAATTTTTGAAAATGAGAATTCTATAAAGAAAATCAAACGTTATGTAATCTTATCTTTTGTAAGCTAAGCCCGGATAAATTTGAAGAATTAATATTATTTGAAGGCAGCCCTAAGGTAGAAAATTTTAAAACATACATATTACATCAAATACAAGAAAACAAAATAAATTTGCTGTGTAGTTTGTAAACACATGTGGGTGTTGTTGCAAGCGACACTTGCCAATGCATCGTATTGTAGACATGTGTGACGATTGTACATCGTTTTCTCTTCAAGTGTGAACTACTACATGTATGTCGCACGTAACAAGGTGCGCTTGTTTATCACCTCGTTATCTATTTCGGTAAAATTAATGGTCTTGTAAATGTAGACACAATTTGTTTGAAACTTTATTTTAATGACATTACAAGTACACAGCATTAGTTTTCAAAGATATTTAGAATATTGTCTTTCTGTGTGAATTTTTCGACCAACAAATTTCGGAAACGAAAGAAAAGAAATTACATTGCTACTATGTAGATGTGTGAATTATTCTGAATGTATTAAAAATTTAGTATTACACTAATTCAGCTTTTCAGAGCTCGATGAACGTCAAGAAAAATGTATTTCATTTTACGAGCATCTTAGGCTATTTCAGTTCCTGTTTCCTCCGAGACTGCGGAATCTTTCAAAAATTCATTGCTATGTTACAATGAACAAGTTTCAAAGTAAACGAAAAAGAATAAATAAAGTTGTACTCTTGAGACATTGACGTATGACAATCAGAAAGATTTTATTAAGGGAAAGAAAAATAACGAATTTTAAACTGTATTTCTGCTCATTTCGTAATAACAACGATAAGAATAAGAGAAGAACAAAGCGGAAAAAACATTGTTGATAAGGTTATTTCTAAAAGGAAAAACATTTTTTAATTTAAAATGTCCTTATACTTGCAACTATTGTTGGGTAGTCAATCAAAAAATACAAAAACCGAACGAAGGGAAAGAAAATTCAAATGAAATTTAGGCATTAGGGGCTGGCATAATTCGTTGTAAACAGGTAAATTACTTTTGTATTTCATTTCAAGTAACAAAAACTGTTTTGATTATTTTTTATGTATATTGGGATCCGTCAAATGGGCATACACCATCTGGTGGCAAAATTTATAACTCGAATGAGGGAAAAATTTACATAGGAACTGTGCACGCAAATTGTAAAATTGTTTATTAAAATAATAAAACACGTTAAAAAAGTACAAATTTTTTTGATGATGGAGTCGACGATGTGGTGTTATAGGCGTATGATTAGGATATCGTGGGTAGAAAAGGTTACAAATGAAGAGGTATTGGAAAGAATAGGAGAACAGAGGACTCTATGGAAGTCAATAAAAATAGGCGAGATAGGTTGGTAGGACACCTTCTCAGGCATGAAGGTCTAGTCGGAGACATATTAGAGGCAGAAACAGGTGTTAGGAGGGGTAGAGATAGACCTAGATTAGACTACTGTTCGCAAATAGTTAAGGATGTGGGCTGTTGTAGTTTTAGGGAAATGCGAAGTTTAGCTCAGGATAGGAAAGAGTGGAGGTACGTGTCCAACCAGTCTTAGGACTGATGACCTTATGATGATGAATTGATTTAACACAATTCTAATGATACGATATAAGTATTTTGAGGTTAAGAACCTACCTGCTGCAATACAACAAAGTTGCAATAATGTGTTTGCAACGTTCTCTTAAATCGGCTTTGCACGTGCAAGTCATTGATATGATATTGCTTAAATCACCCAGAATCACCTTACCAATTATATAACGTGAATCACTTTTTAAATCCGAAGTTTGTAAAAAGTAGGCAGTAAACTTGACGGAATTTGAGGCTAGCTTTCGGATTTGTTATTTCCGAATTTTATAATGTGATTGGCATTAAAAACACGCTCACCTTCAGCGAAATTTCCTTTCCGAGGCTTTGTGTCAGCCCAATCACATATTGTGTCAATACTTATCATTTTATCGTAATTTAAAAACTTGGAAATTGCGCGGTACACTATAGGAACTACGATAAATTTTCCCTAATCGGCGCCATGTTTTTAGGCTCCTCCCATTTGACGGATCCCAATAGATAAATTTTATTCTTATAAAAACCTAAAGGCATTCTTTCGTTCATTGTGTTTTGGAAAAATTGAGGGGGATTCAATAAAGTTATTGAAATCTGAATGCAAAATAGATCTTTTGTATGTTTTCTCGTGCATTTTGTACGTATGTAATTCTGTTTTACCATGGTGATATTTATCGTGTAGTAATTGCTTCCTGCTATTATGGTTGTTCCATCTCGGAAAATCTGATCGAAACAAAATAAAAGATTAAGATAAAAAGCGAAGTTTTTATTCCTTTCAAAACAATATAAAATATAAAATATTTGTCGTATTTTCTTTTCGATATTTCATTTGGTCCAATCTTTTCCACATGATTTCGTTTAAAAGCAATTGTTTTAGGGTATAAATTGAGAGAATCTTCCGTCCATTTGGACCGTCACAGTTAAGTGAAATGTACTCGATACTAAAAACAATTTACTCGGTTATTTGCGCGCTACTCTTCTCAGAAAAATGCCGAAGAATCAATTATTTTTTTTTTCATCATAAAATTATTTAGGATGCCGTTATTCATTGACAATCGCGAAGCACACGTTTCAATCTGAATATCAGATTATATGATATTGAGTTAATATCTCGGTGCTAGTTACTGTTAGTTAATTATGTCCAGGCCCATGAAGCGAATTACAATTAGGTGGAGTTGAACGTTATTTGACAGAAACTAAATAGTTTTAAAGCTTGATGGTTATACATAACTAACAAACTGTTGCGTGAGCTAAAGACAGAATGATCTACAGTATGTTAGGAACAATAATAATTATAAAAGCATCTTAATTATTATCTACTGGTTATTCTGGTGAAATATATCCTTTTTGAGCGTCCATCAAAATTCAGTTTTTATAAATGCCTGTTAATTAGTAACACAGTAAAGTAAACAGGTAATAAGAACGTATTAATTAAGACTTTATAAAAAGGTAAATTTGTTAAGCCAAACAACAACCCTTTCGCAATCCCACGGGGTTTGGAGAACGAGGGTGAAGACGGACTTGTAAGATCTACCTAAGACAATTAGTCTTTAGCAGTTCTTGTTGGGAACATCGGGGTCAAGAAAGCAGTCTAAATTGGGTAAATTATTTGGGTACCCAGGCTGATGTTGATTACAATACGAAAATAAATTAAATTCCTACAGTTTATTCAGAAGGTCCTGCCCGCACGTAAACAACAGAAGAAGAAGGATAT